ATACAGCCACTTTTATTACAAACCTGATGATTCAAACTACTGTCTTACAGCCAGTTTTATTACATACCTGATGATTCTAACTACAGTCATACAGCCAGTTTTATTACATACCTGATGATTCTAACTACAGTGATACAGCCAGTTTATCACATACCTCATAAATGTTACTATTATGATACAACCAATTTTATAACATACCTGGTGATTCTAACTACAGTGATACAACCAGTTTTATCACATACCACATCAATGTGACTATATTGATACAGCCACTTTTATTACAAACCTGATGATTCAAACTACTGTCTTACAGCCAGTTTTATTACATACCTGATGATTCTAACTACAGTCATACAGCCAGTTTTATTTCATACCTGATGATTCTAAGTACAGTGATACAGCCAGTTTTATCATATACCTCATACATGTTACTATATTGATACAGCCACTTTTATTACATACCTGATTATTCTAACTACAGTGATACAACCAGTTTTATCACATACCACATCAATGTTACTATATGTATACAGCCACTTTTATTACATACCTGATGATTCTAACTACAGTGATACAGCCAGTTTATCTCATACCACATAAATGTTACTATATTGATACAACCAGTTGCATTAAATACCTGATGATTCTAACTACAGTCATACAGCTAGTTTTATTACACACTTGATCTATCTATCTTTATCGATACAGCCAGTTTGATCACAAACCTCATACATGTTACTATATTGTTAATGCCACTTTTATTACATACCTGATGATTCAAACTACAGTCTTACAGCCAGTTTTATCACAGACCTCATAGAAGTAACTATATCGATACAGCCAGTTGCATTAAACATCTGATGATTCTAACTACAGTCATACAACCAGTTTTCTTACATACCTGATGATTCTAACAACAGTGATACAGCCAGCTGCATTACATACCTGCTTTATCTATCTTTATTGATACAGCTAGTTTGATCACATAACTTATACATGTTACTATATTGATGCAGCCACTTTTATTACATACCTGATTTATCTATCTTTATTGATACAGCCAGTTTTATCACAA